AATGCAGACACACGATATCGTCCTCTGCAACCACGAGAGCAGATGGTGCCTTTGCATGTCAAATTTTGGATTCTTTATTTGCGAGGATCATTTGCAGGGTATGTATGATATATGAGACTATGATAATGTGATCGTCGATGTGTTGTAAAAAACCATTCAGCTACAATATGTCTAGGGTCCTGATGTTCATAATGTCAATCGAAGCCGGGTCCTTCACCTGCGCAATGATATATTGGTCCGACGCGACCCTCTTGTATTCTCCAACGTGTTGCTGCGCTATCAAAAGTGCGCTAAAAGCCTGCCCAAGGTGAACCATCAAACGCAATGATCGTGAGTGAACATCCGAGTCAACTGACAACTCCTCTTTTCCAGGTGAGTTGCTGGACGATTTGTCAGTGTCATCTGATCCAGACTCGGACTCGGACCAATCCCCTACGCTCTCCCCTTCGTCTGCAAAAGTGAGTTGCTCTGAAAAATCAGGCAGCCCAAGGATACGACGGTCCCATGGACGGACAAGAAAGAACGTCTGCTGAGTGGACCTTGTGCGCGAGAATTGAATTAGGGTCTGGTCCGTGGTGATCAGCAAGTCTTGAAGCCCATCTGCTTTCACTCCATATGTGGAATGAGCAACGCGACCCCGCATGCGTCTGACTTCCGTGACACGGAATGTGATGCAAGGCAGACGGAGTCTGCAGTTTGCGAAGAGCGGAACATTCATGTTCTCGAGTAGGTCATACAACTTCCAAGCTGAATCCACAGGCACAATGTTTCGCAACGAAGAGACTGCTGCCTGAATCTCATCTTCAGACAATGGTAGGGAGTATCGTGGGGTCGCATATGAGATGATGTCGGCTGGAAGGCAACTATTGAACTCGGACGATTGTCCGACCCAGTCCAGGGAAGTGATGTCGCCCGATCTAGCCACGATCTCTTGCAGAAGCCTCCCGAGCGCATTTTGCTTCTTCTCGCCATAGATGACAGGCAGGTGGACGCCGAAGGTACCAAACAACGAGTACGCGATGTCTTCCTGTATCGTGGTGCCACGTTTTGATGCCCATTGCAACATCTCTCGAGCGTCTCTCATCCCCGGTCGGAATGTGGTGAGGGCTCGTGCATCTATGCCCGTCACATCCTCCAACTCCTGCATGATTGCGGGAGACTCCTTGTGATTGGGAGAGCGGTCGTCGAGATACGGGGTCCAATCACTTTGGTAGAAGTGAATGACTTTCGAGGCGAGGAATTCCGGTAGGGTCCATCCTCGCGTGTTCCATATGCTGTTTGCCAGTGCGCCCGGTTTCGATGAAGGCGGAACATCCGCGAGATAGACCATTGTAAGCGCTGAATGGCGATACCAGATAAACATGGAGTTGACCGATTCTTGAAGCTCGACATTGTTTGCTTTGTCGATGCAGCATGTATCCATCCATGCCCAAAAATACCCCGCATCACGAGCGATTTTGCAAAATGACTGCAGTTTTGCGGTGCCACCGAGTCCATCCAACTCGTACACCACTTTGTCCTGGATGTGGTGCAGCAGCGCCTCCGTCTTTTCCCACCTATGCGATAGCATGACATAGCGGAAGTACATCGCCACCACACCTCGGATGCGCTCTGTATGGAGATCTGCACGCTTCGTTGTGGACGACAGAAGCTCCTTGCACTCCACGCTTGTCTGGAAGGCATTTATCTGTGCAAATCGATTGTATAAACGACCAGCGGATATGTGAAGTAGACGAAGTGGGGCGTTTGAAAGTTCTACAAAAATGGCCATCCTAATCACATCCTCGACTTCGGATGGACTGACATGCTGTTGGCGCAGATCTGTGGAAATGTTCAACTGTTTGAAGGTATGTGTGTTTTTCGGGGCATACCTCGTAGCTGAGGGTCGGCAGAATTATCCAACTTGGATAGCATGACTTGGAAAGCCTCGATGGCTTCATCATAGCGTTGTGCACCATGCAATGCCGCGTGTATTAACTTGTATCCGAGATAAGAGGAAGGGTTGAGTTCGACAACCTAGGTATTACCAAAATGAGCATAAGCTATGGAGTAAGATATGTAATTGTACCTTTTGCGCATCGAGGAGTGCATCCTCCCATAGCAGTTTTGCCAACCTGGCCTTACTGCGGTTTGCAAAGATAGCTTCGGTTGCAGAATCCAAGTCGATTGACGCCGAGTATAGCTCAATAGCTTTGTCGTAATTGTTAGCATCGAGTGCAGTATCTCCGCTCGCCGTAAGGGCAGCAGTATCTCCATCGACAGCATAAAGTGCACTACATTTTTGCTTGAAAACTATGTTAAATGTGGGTGAGAACTGTAGTCTAGTGATATGACTGAAGACTTGCCAGTGGACCAATCAAGACAGCTAGCCTTGGTCGCTTCGTCGCTCATATCCATCATATATCGATACGATTCATGGGCTTCTCGAGGCATACCTGCGCGGAGGAGTGCATCGCACCGTCTCTGGCTTGCAATTTGCCACAGTTCCTTGAGGTTCCATCCAAAGAGCTAGACAGATCGCGGAGTTGAACATCAAGTTTTTCGGTTGCATTGTATCAACATACCACGACAAAGTCCTCATATGTAGAATGAATGGCTGACTGAGAGGTGGAAGCGATGGTATTGATAATGACAGCGAAGTGTTCATCAGCTTCGTTTTCATAGGCACCATCAAAGGCGTCGATCCCCAGTTGGAGACGTAGGTACGCCTGATATTGAAAGTTCAAAAAGTTCAGTGTCAACGACCGTGAGTCTGAGAGTGCACGACACTCACTTCCACGATATGACAGACAGGAATGTCTGCCTTGGGACAAACATTAGCCAACCTTTGGATGTGCATGATGGCGTGCTCGTGTTGATTTGCATTGAAATAAGCAATTGCCTGAACTTAATGAAGCAAGGTGAAACATGGAAAAATATCGACGTGCCTTGAGCAGGAGGAGGAGGATATGAGTAGTCTTTGAATATTCGTTCGTAAACATGGACGCGAGGTCAAATGCATCCATCGCGTCCTGGGCTTGCAGTTTTGCGCAGAGGGCGATACCCTTGGAAATATAGCCTGACAAGGAATCCTGAATGCCGATGGACTATGCCACCATCAAGTGAGTTAGCCTTAAGGGATCGTGATGGGAGAGTGTATTTCACCTTGAGTGCATCATCAAGCGCATGGTCCCAGTCGGCTTTTCGCGCCCTAACAAATGAACGATTGGCATAGGCGTGATGATCGTTGCAGTCAGCGTCAATCTGTTGCGTTAGCAGCGCTTCAGCAGCGTGCAAGTCCCCAGTTATACATGCATTGGGGTTGCTGTGTTCATAACGAGGATCTGTGTAAAGCATGTTTACATTCCGCGATAAAAGCCGATGGTAAAAACATACCTTGGAATCGACCAAAGAGTCTTCCAACATTGGCGAATGCCGATCCAATGACTTCCTATCTTTACCTTCACCATGGATATGCTTGCCATACGTGGAGTGGGTGTTAGAGTACACGCCATCAGAGTGCTTGAAAATGGCGATGGTTCGTCGATCCAACAAGCGCTGGAGTCGGGGGTGGTCCATGGACGCAGAGGCTCCGAAGCTATCTGTGGGGTCCCCAGTAATAGCGTTGATCACAGTATGGCCCTTCCAGGATCACCGACTTGCTCCCACGTTGATGTATCCCACTCCTGTATGGTGGGATCTGGATTAGAGCCTGAGAGCAACCGTGTACCATCAGGTGTCCACGCAAGTGAATAATTCCAGGCTGGATTGGACACAGCGTCACTCTCTAACTGTGAGATGCATTCCCTCTTGCCTGTAGTCCATATTGAAATCCCAGGATGTTGCGATGGCGAGATATTCTCCAGACGGGGAATGCCGAACACAATGAACACAATCACTACAATCGATTGCATTCCCTTGCATCTGCCATGTTTCTGTGCTCCAGAGCCCTGTCGTGGTGTCCCATGAACCACTCGCTAGTACTGGGCCGGTTGGAGAAAAGTCCAGCGACACGATTTGTTTGGAGTGGAATTTGAGGTTGAGTGAGAATCACCGGTGTTGCCGTCCCACGCAATGAGCTCTCCGTTAGCATCACCGCTTGCTATCAACTGCCCATTTCTGATACTGCCACTGCCCCCACCGAGGTACGATGCCCCTCATTTTCTTCAACATAACACCAGTCTTCAAGTCCCACAAACAAAGCGTACGATCTCCCAAGCCGGTCACCATACGTCGTCTATCGGGGAAGACTGCAGCTACAGATACAGCACATTCGCGAGTATCGGGGACTGCGGTTGCAGATACGGCGCATTCACGAGCTTCGAAAGCTCCCACAGGTATGGTAATCAGAACGAACGGTTGTACTCCTTCTGCCATTCAGTCGGATATTGATGGTGTTGAGCACCGTTGAAGTAGGCTTGCTGTAAGCAGGTGGATGTCTTGCTCCACGTTACACACAATCATTCTCGTCCGTAGTAATTCCCTTGTCTTATCAGACGCTCAAGGGTGATCATTCCAAAATAGATCGAAGGAAGGCGTGCCGCGATGCCGGGTATCATTTCGTCACGGAAGTGTGAGTCTACGGTAGATTACGCTTCATTCGCAGATATGTCTGCAGGCGCAACGTCCTCTTTCAGCATCATTTTATTGATCAGTGCTACCCCCATGCACCGCGGAAGACATTCAACCGCTACCTGACTGGGTCATATATGGACACAGCCCCTAAGCGTCTTTACACGTTTCCATTGGATTTCCCGAATCCCTGGTGTATTTCAAGGTCTTAAATATCTTCAGAGTGCGACGTGGCTAGGGTTGGTCCACATTCCAACTTGTACTTAATAAAACCAAGCACCGGAGCTGGATTTCCCGCTGTATCCACGACCTATCAGAGCGAGATGTGCTGACTCCCCTTCCTACACCAAGACGGTCCGTATAAATCGTCTCGCAATAATAATCTCATGCTACTACGAATCAGGCGCAATGATGGGTGCGCCGTATCGTTAGCATCCTAATTCCCCATACTTGTTGTCTATCTTGAAAGTCGAACAGCGCGTAAGGAAGGTCTACCAGCTCAGGGATAGGAAATCCTCGATCACGCATTAATTATCTATTACTACTATACTATTGCACCAATAATCTATAGTATATCTTACCAAAAAATGCCTCCTTCATTCTATTTCACAGAGACGCACGAGTCGTCAACGCTTCCTGTATCTTCGCCTCCTCCTGCGCCCATGATGGACGGGCGATCCTGTATGCATCTCCAACCCGGGCATACGAGATGTCTCCCAAACACGCGACGGGCTTGAACTTTGCGAGGTCGATGACACCTTTGTCTGTGAGCACGTCTTTGCGGGCGTGGATGTACTTGACGTGCGCGAGGATGAGCGTGCCGGTGTGCTCGCCTGTGACTGGGTGAGTGATATCTATTGATTGGTAGAGCTGGTGGGAGGCGACGTTGTCAGCGAACGAGCGGGCTTGACGTGAAATGAAATACCTCGCATTCCATGCTAAAGGCGCTTTCCTTGATGCGGGAGGCTTTTACTTGCACCTGAGCACGTCGTCAGCGCATGTATCGTATCATGAACGCGCACGCGTACGCATTTCTCCTTTGTCAAACCACTGAGAGTCCACTCGTCGAAGCCGGGAGGAGCGTTTATAGCAGTTGCATTTGCATTCTCGACGAATGCCTCGCTGATGATGTTCACGGTGAATCCTTGGCCGTTCTTCACGTTCGTTACCGTGTCTTTAAGGCGGCCCGCCGCAGGGTTGTTGTTGATTGCGAATGAGATGACAGGCGGGTAGTTCGTGACCTATTGCAAGAGGTTATTGAACCATCATGTAAAGAGACATATTGTCTGTTGTATTGCTCACTGTGTTAAACCAACTGGTAGACGCAACCCATGTAAGCATGTGAAGCACGTCACAAACTGGACGCGCGTCTTACCTGAACGGTGCCAGGTTCTCGACGCCATCCTCGCTGATTGTGGACACGCATGCGATGGGGCATGGTACGATACCTGAAAGCAAGAGCTTGTACAACTCGCTGCCGATCGCGGTCACAATTGCGGCTGAACAGCAGGTCGAGGGGTACGTACATCTTGTCCGTTTCTGATGTGTTATAAACTTTCCACCCTGCAGATTCGCCTGCAATCCAGTCTTTGCCAGCAGGAGTGGTGTCGACTCTCTGACCATACGTCCAGGATGGATTGGGTGATTGGGTGTAGATGGAGTAGGTGGTGGAATCAAATGCAGGGATGGACATGGGGGGTAGCTGGATGAATAGAGCGAAGCTGGCCCTGGATTTATAGTGACATGGTTCCAAATATTGAGGCCAGTCTTCACAAATAAGAGCCGATAGTGTATGGGCTGACTACTTGGCTTACTACGCTGTTTGATAAGCACGCACGCGGTGATCTGACTACTTAGCTTACCACCGCCACTCGGTCGCGCCAGTCCCCGATTCCGCAGGAAATGAACTCTGGGATTCCATACATTCAATTGCTTTGTTGTCGTGGGCATGGCAGGGAGGATGATTGAGTCTGTGCCCTGGGGCACGCAGGCTTGGCACTAACTCCAGATAACGCGCGCTCGTCGTGGTCGGCGGTGTGCGGAGGTCTATGGGGAGCGAGGAACCCGGCGTGAACGGAGATGAGCGCGTGAGGTACCTGGATTAGACACCCGAGCAATATACTATCGGATTGGGTAAGCGTGAAACGTGTGCCGTCATCGTAAAAACAACTAAAATCACACTGTGCCATATGAGTCCACCAGGGCACACTGTCCTGCAGCGAAAAGAAGGGGCCCCTGCCAGCGGAAACGGCGTGCCCATGGGAGGCCAAACTTCCTGGACTCTCATAGGGCACGCACTTTCATCCGAAACTTGAAGGCAGGGACCAGTTTTCGGAGAAAACAAGTCAGGAACAAAATGACTAGTCCAAAACCTCGGTATTGTAACCATAAGAATGATAGAGATACTTGAGCTTTGCGGCGTCTGAGTGCCTCGTGTCCTGAGCGTCTAGTGATGCAGGTTGAGGCTGTGAAGAAGCACAAAAGGCCAGGTATACGCACCTCTAAAACTTGGATCAAGACACCCACAAGTTCCCCGGCAAGTCGTGCTCGTTGCAAGAAGTTGCAAAATCAAGAGATGACAAATGGATGATCTCGCCGGGGAGCTCATCGCCTGGAACAGAGACGGCGAATCTCTCACCCAGCCTATCCAAGTTCACTCCAAACAGATATTGCCGCTCGACTTTTTCCCAAACAGCACATTACTAGCGAGAGGCTCATTGGATCCCACGGTGGAGCCCTGGAACACAAAAGCATGGCAGGTGCAAGGAGTAGTGATGTGCAAGGCCCAGCTTGAAGCCCTGGGCCGGCCCAAGCCGGGCCCAAATAGGCCGGGCCCAGCCCAGGCCTGTCACGGCCTGAGCCCCAAGCTGCGGCTTTGGTACATAGAGTACGAGGGCACAAATTACGGGGTAGTAAATCCGATTACGCTTGATTCAGTGAGTTGCATGTCTTTGGCTAATTCAAGGATGTGACAATAGCTCTTCAAAGTCATATACGAGTCTGCAGACCCACGATATCGTCCTTTGCAACCCGCCTCGAGAGTAGATGGTGCCTCTACATGTCAAATTTTGAGATCTTGTATTTGCGAGGGTCATTTGCAGGGTATGTCTGATATATGAGGCTATGATAATGTGATCGTCGAGGTTTGTAAAAAAACCATTCAGCTACAATATGTCTAGGGTCCTGATGTTCATAATGTCAATCGAAGCCGGGTGTTTCATCTGCGCAATGATATTATGGTCCAACGCGACCCTCTTGTATTCTCCAACGCGTTGTTGCGCTACCAAAAGTGCGCTGAAAGCCTGCCCAAGGTGAACCATCAAACGCAATGATCGTGAGTGAACATCCGAGTCAACTGACAACTCCTCTTCTCCAGGTAAGTTGCTGGACGACTCGTCAGTGTCGTCTAATCCAGACCGGGACTCGGACCAATCCTACGCTCTCCCCTTCTTCTGCAAAGGTGAGCTGCTCTGAAAAATCAGGCAGCCCAAGGAGACGACGATCCCATGGACGGACAAGAAAGAATGTCTGCCGAGTGGGTCTTGCGCGCGAGAACTGAATTAGTGTCTTGTCCGTGGTGATCAGTAAGTCCTGAAGCCCATCTGCTTTGACTTCATATATGGAATGAGCAGCATGAGCAGGCCTCCGTTTGACTTCCGTGACATGGAATGCGATGCAAGGAAGACGCAGTCTGCAGTTTGCGAAAAGCGGAGTATTCATGTTCTCGAGCATGTTATACAACTTCGAAGCTACATCCACAGGCACAATGTTTCGCAATGAAGAGACCGCTGTCTGAATCTCATCTTCAGACAATGATGGTGGGAGTATGGCGGGGTTGCATATGAGATGATGTCGGCTGGAAGGCAACTATTGAACTCGGACGATTGTCCGACCCAGTCCAGGGAAGTGATGTCGCCCGACCGAGACACGATATCCTGCAGGAGCCGGCCGAGCGCGCTCTGCTTCCTCTCGCCATAGATGACAGGTAGGTGGACGTCGAAGATACCAAATAACGAGTACGCGGTGTCTTCCTGCACAGTGGTGACGCGCTTCGATGCCCATTGCAGTTTCTGTCTAGCATCTCTCATCCCTGGACGGAAGGAGATCAGGGCCTGTGCATCTATTCCCGTCGCCCTCCAACTCCTTCATGATTGCTGGACTCTTTGTGGTTGGAGAGCGATCGTCGAGATATAACGACCAATCCTTCTGATAAAATCTAACGACTTTCGGAGCGACGAATTCTTGAAAGGTCCATCCCGCTCGTTCCAAACACTGCTCGCAGTGCACCGGGTTGGGATGAAGGAGGGACATCGGATAGGTAGACGATGGTGAGCGCGAGTGACGGTACCAGACGAACATGGATTGGACCGATTCTCCAAGCTCGCGTTGTTGCTCTTATCGATGCAGCATGTATCCATCCACGCCCAGAAATACCCCGCATCACGAGCGATTTTGCAGAACGACTGCAGTTTCGTGATGCCACCAAGTCCTTCAACTCGCGCACATCTTTATTTTGGATGTGGTGCAGCAGCACCTCCGTCTCTTCCCACCTGTGTGATAGCAAAACGCAACGGAAGTGCGTCGCCACCACCTCCTTGATGCGTTCCATTTCGAGATCCGAACGCTTCGTTATGGATGACAAAAGCTCCTTGTACTCTGGACTTGTTTTGAAGGAGTTTAGCTGTGCTGCTCGGTCGCACAAATCCCGTAGAGGTGTTGAGCAGACGAAGGGGGGCGTTGCTGAGTTCAATCCAAACCGCTCTTCGAATAGCGTCTTCTGCTTCCGATGGACGGACGTACTGCTGACGCAGATCTGCAGAACAAGATAGGTTTCGAGACGAGGTAGTAATGTTCCATGGCTTACCTCGTATCTGCACTTCTGGAGCATCGTCCAACTTGGACAACATGATTGTGAAGGCCTCGATGGCTTCATCGTAACGTTGCGCGCCACGCAGCGCTGAGTGTGACAACTGGTACCCAACATGAGACGAAGGATTGAGTTCGGTGACCTATGCATCGCCGAAGTCAACATGAGCTACGAAAACGTGGATGCCATCGCACCTTTCGCGCGTCGAGGAGCGCATCCTCCCACAGCATTTTACTTAACTTTGCCTCGCTGCGACGTGCAAAGAAGATATCAGGATGCAGAATCCAGGTCGATCGCCATCGAGTATAGGTCAATAGCCTTGTCGTAATCGCTTGCAGCGAAGGCAGCCTCTCCATTGGCAGCGCAGAGTGCGCTGCATTCCTGTTTGAAATCTGAGAAGAATACAGGTGAGGATTGTCGCCTGCGCGACATTACTGGTTCTAGACTCGCCGTTGGACCAATCAAGGCAGTCGGCTTGGTGATTTCGTCACTTGAAGTCATCATGTGTTGGTATGATTTCACGGCATCTTGGAGTTTACCGCCCGAAGGAGTGCATCACACCGTTTATGGTGTGCCTTTTGCCACAACGACTTCAGGTCCCAGCCAAAGAGCTGGACAAGATTCAGTTATGAAAAGCGTCATATGCATCATCTTGACGTACCACCACCAAATCTCATATACTTCATGAATGTCGATTCGATGATAATCGCTGGAGTCGATAGCGGCAGTGAAATGGTCGGCGGCTTCGTCGTAACGTGCGCCATCCAAGGCTTTGATTCCGAGTTGAACGTGTAGATATGCCTAATGTGCGAGTTGTAAAGATGAGTGTTGATGACCAAGCATGGATGATACTTACTTGCACGATATCACATGCGAGAGTATCGGTATTCGGACAACCGGTAGCGAGCTCTTGAGGAGCAGGTTTGCCTCGTCATGTTGATCTGCATTGAAGAGCGCGATGGCCTGAAATACGCGATGAGGGAAGAGTATGCGAGGCAAATGTAACATACCTTGATCAATAGCAGAAAATGAGTGATTTCTGAATCCTGGTCCGTGTACATGGATGCAACATCAAATGCTGCCCTCGCATCCAGGACGCGGCCTTTTCCACAGAGGGCAATACCCTTGGAGATATAGCCCGTCAATGAGGGCTGAATCCTGATGGACTATGTCACCGTCGAGTTAGTCCTGTATAAGGCGGCGATGATTCTCACCTTGATTGCGTCCAGAAGGGCGCGTCCCAGTCGTATTTTCGCGCCATGACGAATGACCGATGGGCGTAGGAAGTATGGTTGTTCGGACTGGTGTTGATATCTTGAGTGAGTAGTTCTTCGGCGGTAGATAAGTCTCCATTTAGACATGCAATACGGGAGGTCGTGATGGCTAGGATCTGCACGAAACATGCTCTAATTGTGGTATATATGAGTCAAGAACGGAAACATGCCTTTGAGCGATGGACGTAGGGAGTATGGTTGTTCGCATCGGTATTGATATCTTGCATGAGTAGTTCTTCGTCAGTAGATAAGTCTCTCTCTGCATGCATCGCGGACTGTTGTGGTGGCAATAGTCTGCAAGAAGCATGCTCGATTTGTGGTATATGAGTCAGAGACGAAACATGCCTTTGGATGTATACCCTGAGGTACTGTCCACTCTGAGATCTTATCGTCCCTCCACTGAAGATGTGATTGCCGTCCACGGAGAAAGTGACGCGTATTGGCGAGTGAGTGCTTGAAGACGGCAATGGTTTGTCGATCTGAGAGCTGCCAGAGACGATGTGTCACTAGATGCGGATGCAACGAGTGTGCCAGCAGGATGAATGGCAATGGCTTGGATGTGGTCAGTGTGGCCCGTCCAAGGATCACCGACCTGCTTCCAGGTTTTGTATCCCATTCGCGTATAGTAGGATCTTACTGCCGCCTGTGAGAAGGCGTGTGCCATCGGGCGTCCATGCGAGTGACAGTTTCCTGATTTGTGACCCTTGAATTGCGACGTTTCCTCGTGCCTGAATTGTAAATTTGAATATTGTTGTTGCGATGGCAAGAAGTTCTCCAGACGGAATACCGTACGCAGTGACAAATTGACACTCGATCGGATCTCCTTGCAGCTGCCAGGTTTTGGTATTCCACAGTTTCGTCATTTTTCAAATATGAACCAGTGGCCAGCACTGTTCCATCGGGAGAAAAATCCAGCGAGGAGACCAAATGAGTGTGCTTTGATTTTGGTGAGTAATTCGCCAGTTTCTCCGTGCCAGACGATGACCTCTCCTTGTATCACCACTTGCTATCAATTGCCCATCTCGTGATACCGCCAATCTCCACACCCTTTGCGATGCCCTCCATTTTCTTCAAACAACACCTGTCTTTAAGTCCCACAACCGAAGCGTTGTGTCCTCCGAGCCCGTAACCATCCGACGTTTATCAGGGAAAACTGTGACTCCAGTTATGCGTTCTTCATGGCCTTTGAACCATCGCAGGGGAGTGGTGATTGTAATGAGCTCCGACATTTTACTGGATGTTGATGGTATGGAATAACGGACGAGGCTAGACTTTGGAGGGATTATGTCTCTTTCTCTCAGCTGCAGGGGGTGTATGGTGCGTTTTATGGTGCCTCACAATTGCCTCATTTCAATAGACGCCCAGGACATCTACATAGTAAGGCTGTTCGTGCCCACGCCTCTATCACTCTATTAGGGACGCTCAAAGTTGGGGGCGCTCAGGTCGCCCACGCCTACCGCCTACGCCTATGACCCCTTTGGTCTACCTAAAACGTAGCATACACAGTATTATATAATACGGATATGTACAAAACGAGATGGTGTTGTAAGCCAAGGGGGGTCGTAGGCGTGGGCGGTAGGCGTGGGCGACCTGAGCGCCCCCAACTTTGAGCGTCCCTATTGTCATACCCGCTGTCCTCGACAGTATGCACATCTGCAGTGCATACATGCGTCCGACTCTTGTCTTCGCAGCTTCCAGAATGTATCCCATTGCATCAAGTCGAGCAGTCCGTGCTTTCCATCGTTCGAGTCTGACTGTCTATCCTGCATGAATACCGTTGTTTTTCGTATCTAGCAGCTACTCCAGCTTATCACCACGTTATTACTCTTTCGAACGCATGTATATAGCTTACTGCAATATCACTTCTCCATCCAACAGACTCCCACCCAAGATCCTTGTGTGCACAAGATGCAACTAAATTTCGTGGTACAGCCTCGGAATCTCCTCACTATCGGCACACTGCTAATGGCCGCATCTCGCCGCGATCCCCTCCGTATTCTCCAACACAACACCTGTCTTCAAGTCCCACAAACAACTCAAGCGTCTTGTCAATACGAGCTTGTCATCATACGTTGTCTATCGGGAAAACCCGCGACTGCGCTTGCACCGCTCTCACGATCTTCAACAACGTACGTGCGGTGCTTGAAACGAGCTTCGACATCTTGCTGGATGCTGAAGATGTGGAGCACGGTCGAGGTAGACTTTGGAGGGATTGTGGGCATTTTTCTTTAGGCTGCAGAGGTGCGTATATCGTGCGTTTCTATATTTTTTCACCCCATTGGCTTGCCTTGTGTTTCCTTAGACACCCTAGTAAGACGTGGACCCCATTCATCTCTTCAGGTGAATGTGTCTCCCTTACTGCTCTTTCTCGCTTCATTAATCTTGCAACTAGTCTCAAAGACGATATGATCCTCATATTACAACCTGCTGAAGCCCAAACTTCTCGCGGTCGCCTGTGTTATCTCCTGCATTCAATACCTTCTTCGCCGCAGCTTGCTACTCCATCTCACCAGCACAGGCCAATGATGCATGGACACTCCTACACATGTTATCTGGCATGGTGCCATTGATGTGAATGTCAGCTCAATATCGGAAAATGATGCGCA